AGTGGAATGGCAGGGGTATTTTTTTTGTTTTGTTTTTTTTTTTTTTTTTTTAAATGATGGGATAAAATAGTGACAGCAGTGATCTACTTAACACTTAAAAGGGAGAAAACTGTGAAGAAATGAGAAGAGAACGAAATGAATTAAGCACCTGCTGTTACATACACACTGTCCATTATGAAAACTAACGTGCAATGAGTCATGAAACATGGAGTGTAAATTGGATCATAAATGCCATAATTACATAACTGCCTCAGGTCCTATTGTGTTGGATTATTCAGCGAAAATTTATACAACGTGCCCTGAATACAAATATAAATTTGTTTTAATTATACTAGTAAATTTACTTGGATTCATATTTTAATATAAAATGTATATTATATATGGCTGCGTAATTTACTTTTATTTACATTTTAATATCAAACTATTAAAATATAAAAGTATATAAAGGTCATTTCAGAGAAATATACATAAAACATTTTTAAATGATTACATCTTTCTCTTCATATGAAATTACTTCTACTCAAGACAAACCAGTGACAGCGGGGGAAAATAATATATCATAGTCTAACATTTCATGACCCAATCAAATCCTGATGGATGAAGTCCCTTCCAATATTAATTTCCATTGAATATTTTATTCAGAAATAGGTTAAATCAGGTCGCCTAAAAAACAGATGCAAATCCAAGCAAAGTTTTCCTTCCATATCAGAGAAAAAAAGACCACAGATCTCACCTGATCAGACACATTTTTAGTGTTATACTTCTGCAAATTTATAATCTAAATAATGTGTTATGCATAAAACTATTTTATGCTACTTTATACAATACTATATAATATTAACAATGCTCACATCTGTAAGTGCCTTTAGATTTTAATTAAAATGACATTTTTGTTCTGTGGAACACAAAATATTTTGAAGAATGTCAGTATTATAGAGGTTTGGAATGACATGAGGGTGAGTAAATGACAACATTTAAATTTTTAGGTAAAAAAAAAAAAAATCCTTTGGGGGTTTGGCTTTAAAAGCATGAATTTCACCAAGAAACTGTCCAATATTATGGCACCAATTACAGCAGGTTCCATTACCAAATGTATTATACCCGTTAGAGCACCACTTTAAAAATAAAATAAAGTTTTACACAATGAACGGTTGTGTTGTGTTATTGGTGCGAACAGCCGTTAAGCAGTACAAAGCAGAACAGCGGCTAAAAAGGCCTTTGCTGAGACATGCAGTTTGAGGACCTTTAGTCCAGCATACTCCATTCCTGGAAACTCTTTGGCCGCATTCCCCTAAAGAAAGACATCCATAACATCCCTCTTTGTGTCACAGGTAGAGAAAGAACAGTGTCATGGTCTGCCGCCCACTCAGGGATTACAGTGAGGCAAGGTGTTATGTGAAGGCATAATATCCCTCTTAATCTTCCCTTTTTTTCTTTTCTAAAGCTGATGCCATGAGGCTGCACTAATGTGTCAAACATCAATCCCACCGGCCACGAGGGGATACAACTGACCATCGCTCTCAAATATTCTCAGGTAGACCACGTACGGCTTCAAGTCAAAGTCAAGACGCACCAAAAAGCAGAAAAAACGAATGCATCTGCGCTATGGTAGCTGAGGGGTCATAACTCACTCTCTCTTAAAGGCAGGTTTCAAAAGTAAGATCATTTAGGAATATATTCAAGACATGTTACAAGGGCATTTGGGCACAATTCAATAATCTGGAATATTTGCTAGAAACATTATGCTTCAGTGGACAACCAAAAATTGCCATGAAAGCATTTCTGAAGATTTAAGATATAATAACAGGTGAAACTGTTAGATCTTTCATTTTCTCACATCATGGCGCTTGTAATAGATTTGCGCTAGGTCTAGCAGCAGTCTTCTTAATAGAACGGGGGATAGATTTGCATGATCAGCACTGATCTAGAATGCAAGGCCAGATAAGTAACAAAGACTCTGGTTAGACTAACTTGCTTTGATTTGAAAGAAGTGTCAGTGAGGAACTGCTAATTAACAACGCGATTAAAAAGCAATCAAAGTGATGAACTAACATCAGTTAAGTGTTCTCAGACAAGCTCAGGTATACGACGAAACTCAAAACAAAGTTAGTGCAAAGATGGGGGATTTATGTAAATGTCAGTCATTTGCATGCAAATGTGACCTGACATTTTTGTGATCATGTTAAAACACCGAAGTACCAATGCGTGTTTAATTTTGCTGATGTGGTAAATGTGATGGCACAGTCTTAAAGGGTGAATCTCACAAAAAATCCTTGCCTCATATTTCATCACAAGATTAAAAAAAAGGCTCAAAATTAAGAAATATTAATTTGCACCAAAAAAAAATGCATCCTATTTTTAGGACCATTAAGATTTGTGATTTGTTGCCATTTTCATGTTCATTCCAAAAAAGCACATTTTTGCCCCAAAAATCTCATTACTGTAATGCAGAAAAAGTTTCTTCACATTAATCTCATATAGTGATGAAAACCTTCCTTTCCAGACACAATTTTATTTATTTATTTATTTTAATCAGAATAAACTAAATTCTGTGCACTTAAATAAATATATTAACAATATTACATTAACATTTTAATAATGCATTTAACACTTAAACAATGCACTGTTTTTTTATATTACAATTAGAAGAATACTCTTTTCTTTTTCTTTTCATTGCTGTAACAAGAATTGCCAAGTGCTTGGTTAAACATCCTGTGCCACAGATTTACCTGGTCTGATAAAGCTCATAAATTTGGTGGCTCAGACATTTGGGCCCTATGGACATTCCCCAGACTCCAAATTGGTCAATTTTCCTCTCTCACAACAACAGAGACAGTTGGAGGCTAAGGTGAGAGGAACAGAACAGCCCCAGTGACACTCAGTTCATAAGCTGGGCGGATTAATCTTTCATCAAATAAGAAGAAAAAAATATGATTTATTTAAGGGCATGTCCAGAAGGAAAATGAATGATGCTCTCTAGTCAAACGATTCAGAGTTTGGGAACGGAAGATGTGGCTGATGTCTTCTACACTGTAAGACCAAATAGTAAATCTTTGATAAAGGAATTGGGTTGTAATTACTCAAAAGAAATAAAAACGTTCATTCACCTCAAATAGTTTTAGTACACTCCCGTCTGACGTCACGCACGTGCTTACGTGCTCCGCCCTCAACTAGCTGCTGCAACTTTTTGAAAAGACGCCATGTTGTTGTTGCTCGCTGACTCGCTTCGGATTTTATTTTATTAAGTTTGCAATGTGCGAAAGACTAAAAAAATTTTTTTTGAGTTATATTAACTTATCCGGTTTTACAGTGTAGCATCCTAAATGCCTGCGTACAGAAATTATCTAATAAACTAAACATTCATAATGTCAAGGCATGTGACCTCATCTTAAAACTCAACACGAGATGACAAACTGAGCATGACGGGGAAAAAGCTCCACATCTGTAAGGCGAGCACATATTGGCACATATTCTAAAATCAGCATAATTTCCTGTGGTTAACACACAGTAAGAGGCTGATCCATGCGATGAGATTTAAAAAAAAAAAAAAGCTGAAACAATGCTTTTTATTGGCAGATGGGACAGCCACTTCCCTCATTTCTAGAGATGAAGGAGGGTGGAGCAGAGCGGAATGAATCAGCACATCAATCACTGTTGCGCTGCTAAAGCCGAGGAGGAAATCACACCGGCGTCTTGTGCTGTAGCTCTACATGAATTTCAAGGACACTCAAGAGCCTCCTGATACACGTGGGGCGAGGAGTCCACAGAGATTACACAGAAGTATTAAGTGTCTCATTTGTCTTTCTTACCTTCAGTCTTCTGCCGGTGTGAGTCCAGCACCCTGCCGAGACACAAGTGCTGCCAACAAGGTGCTTGTGTTTGACTGTGTGTTTGTAACGGGCGCTGCTGCACTCACCAGAAACACTCTGTAGGCATCCTTGCGTCTTACGGGGCCCCAGCACGACTCTGTGTCATTGTATTTCACACTCCCAGCACTGCACGAGTGATTCCCACTGTGAGAAGGCAAACAATTAGACACTTCCGACCTCTGAAAATTCATTTCAGGCGTTTTTAAAACTACTTTACCAAGAAAACTAAAAGACAGATTCGAACTCTACAGGCCATTTGTAAAAATGACACCATTCAAAATTATTCTGAAGAACAGCAGGCAGTTTAACAGTTCAGGACAAACAAGGGACTCATGAACAACTATCACTAAACAAAAAAACACAGCTGTGGATCATTCAGGTAACAACACAGTATTAAGAATAATTTTTTGAACGGGGGTTATTTTTATAAATTCAGCTATTATTTTCTCTTGTGGACTATATGTAAACATCTTTTATGTGAAATATCTTATTCAGGTCAGTACTAAAAACAATAACATGCATCTTGTATGCATCTCTCTTATTTTGGTAAAATAATTTACATTTTGCAGATTGTGAAAGAGGGATGTAAACTTTTGACTTCAACTGTATCTTTCATATGTTGCTGCCTCCATTACTGTGCTATACATTAGATTATTAATCTTTCATTGTGCAAAAGTATATGAAAGGCTCCAATAGAGAGCAGCACAAAGCGCTTACGAGCATCGCGTGTGCAGAATGATATGCTTGAAGCAACAGAGTCACAGCGCACTGCGCTCCACATAGAAAAGTTCTAAGCACAAAGGAAGGAGATATTGATGCGTAGTATATTAAATCTGTGCGATATTTTATTTAGCCTTTACGTTTAACAGTTTGAAATTTCAGTTACTGTGCTCTCTTGGAGAGAGTTTCATGGAGAGAGTTTCATCCCGAGAACACGCGATCATGCAGGTCACATGCACACTAATAAAATAAAATAAAAGTCCCGCCTCCAACGCATCGGCCAAACAGAAAAACTTATCGGGCGATGCCGATATTTGAAAAATGACCACTACTTGAAATATAGTGCACCAAAACTTTATGGTGCTTTATAATGTTTTTGTACCTTTCGTGGGGCTTAACAATAACAGAATAGTATAGCTATGCACAATATTGGATTTGGATCGGTCTCGTCTGACCTATACTCGATCCGACAGAAAATGCCAGCTTTGGAGCCGATACCGATCCCGAGTATCGAATCGATGCATCCATCCTAATAACAATATAAAGTTATTCTTATGTTTACTTTATCTACCTTATTTTTCAACGTGGAAGTAAGCCGTTTTCTGTCAATGTGCGAGACTTCCGATTCATTAGCCGCTGTAGGGAAATAACGAGAAGAATAACAAAGTGCAGTAAACGTCAAAATTGTTTGCACTACAAACCAAGTGTGTTCATAATTAAGACAATACATTAAAATAATATGGTAAGACCAGTTTGAAAAGCCGCTGTAGGGAAATAACGAGAAGAATAACAAAGTGCAGTAAACGTCAAAATTGTTTGCACTACAAACCAAGTGTGTTCGTAATTAAGACAATACATTAAAATAATATGGTAAGACACACCAGTTTGAAATATCAAGCCGCAAAACAAGCTGTTTTGTACAGCTAAAAATAGCTGGAAGCGGATGAAACCGGAAGCCAGACACATTAAATTTACAAATGGACGCGGCCGCTCTTACGGGAAAAAAAAGGTGGATAAAAACCAGTGAAGATTTCACAGCAAAAAGACACGTGTACCAGGACCTGAAGGGAAACATTTTTGCAATTATACTAAGAGGCCTATTACTTAATTAAAAATAATCAAATGACAAGGCATTGTGTACAACAGGTTTTGATCATGTGGATATTTTCGAGGCCTTAGAAATTCATTTATCAAATATGATAAAGTAGATTTTATAGGATGAAGGCTTGTTCACACCAAAATGAATGCTCGGCACAAAAATTTGGTGCGATTTGTGCTATTTTTGCAATTTGTCTGTACAAACCAATGAGATAAAATAGCAGACAGGTTCAATGAAAAATGGGCCAAAAAAAGATGACACATTGATGGCAAATAAATGTTTGCATTAGGCTTGCCGCGATAGACGGTGCTGACGGTGATACCGTTGTTAAGCCGCAACACTGGTTACGTCACTTGCCCACCGCGAAGCTTTCTTATTCGTTTTGCTAATAAACTTTCTACGTTTCTTATATATTTGGTTATATATTATATGTTTACTTATTTCCAGTTTTGTATAGGCTACCTACTTAAACTTCATGTAAGTTATTTATTATTTTATATTAGGCATAGCCTGCCCAAAAGCATGGTGTATTTTTATTCGTTTTGTTAATAAAAGTTCTATGTTTTATATATAGGCTAAAGTGAGTTTGACGTTGTATTTTGTTGTTGCATTCAAGCAATTGACGCTGAATTGCAGCTATTTGAAAGTGAAAGTAAAATGCGCACGCCGCTTTTGCAAGCTATTTAAAAGCGAAGGAAAGCGAGGAAAAGAGGAAACGCCCCTGCCCCCACGGTGACACCGGTATTATCAGTATTGTCACACGTTGATTAACCGGTGGGAAAATTTCCTCACCGTCACAACCCTAGTTTGCATTGGTTCAAACAGATTTCTTAAAATGTTTATCAAATTCACATTTTGCAGTTTATCAAAAATGCATCTTGGTGTGAACAGACCTTTAAAGGGGTCCTATTATGCTCTTTTACAAAGTCTTTATCTTATTTTGGGGGTGTACTAGTACAGGCTCTCATACTAGGTTGTTCGAAAACACATAATTTTTCACATATTTTACATTATTACAACACCTCTCTCCTCAGTCTGGCATGAACGGCTCGAATAGTTCCTGTATCAATTGAAGGCCCGCCTTCTGAAATACGAAATGTGCTGTGATTGGTTAGCTGGGCCAGTGTGTGTTGTGATTGGCAGCATTCGGCCACTGGTCGGGAAATGTCATGCCCCTTACCATAGCCGCCTGCCAGCTTCAGTGTAAATATTGTGTCAAAATCAAATCAATTTGAGCACGATTTAAACCCGGATGATTGTAACCACTCTAAGTTCGTCTGCGTTGGGAAAGCTAGCGTGTCTCCGACATAGTGATAACACTCGTTGCCTTCTCTAGTGCAGCTCAACCAGGTCTCGTCCCATTCGACGATATTTGTGATATCACAAATCCCGTTGTATATGCGTTGTAGTCCAAACGAGTCGTTCGTTGTAGTTTTTGAAAAGTGATTTCTGTTAAATAAAATCTCCTTTTGAAGTGGACTTTGAGCTTTGTAACTTTGCAGATCTTTTTTATGCTCAAGCAGCAACATTACAGACTAACTAAAGTTGAAAAAGTGAAAAAGCATAATAGGACCCCTTTAAACATTTCTTATTTGTCGAACATCAACTTATATGTGAAAACGTCTGCAATAAGAACTTAGTTGAGTTTTTATGACGGAACAATTTTCTTGATCTGCAACTAATATGAAATAAGTCAGGTTTTAATGGTGGGACTAATTTGAACATTCAAAACATAAAGCTGATGTTTCATTAATTAATGTCTAGAACAATAACAAAATGGGATATCCTGAACTCACCATGCAACTTCCATCAGTGATACAGGTACAGCAGCGGCATAAATGGCCAGGTCTCCGTACAGGTACACGATGATGCAGATGTAGAACATGTTGACACCAACTGCAGAAAGAAGCATCATCTGTCATTCTGAAGATTCATGGCTTTACATAAAACATCACTTCAAATACAAACAGGTGGAGATGTTGACTGAACATGAAGATGGGCGGCATCATTCCCAAGAAGATTCCTCCCAACACTCTATACCCACTAAAAATAAATCATCCTAATTAAAGAAGCAAGCACTTAATTACGAAATTCCCCCTGCTCTTCTCTTCATTAACCCCACACTCCTCTTCACCTGACCTGTTCCTCCATCCATCCATCCATCACTCAGTCCCTGCCAGTTGCAGATGAGATGGAGAGCATTCAAGAGGAAACACATGGGCTTACCATATTACATATTCATCATCACCGAAGCTCCTACGAGGATCTTGAACGGTCCAACCGACCAATAAGCTCATTAATTACTCTGAAGTCGACTAGAGCTAACAGACTATTAAAACTAGATTTAAATAAAGAAAAAATTAAGATATACTCTTTTACAAGCTTAATTGAGTCATCTTTTCCTCCACATAAAAAAGCAGCAAATGTTGCTTTCAGTTCCAGTTCGTTTTACGAAGATGAGTGGCGAAAACCTGGCAGAAAACATGGGAAATTCAGTTGCTGTGCTTATTATACAATTTGTCAAGTAAAATTTATAAAGGAGAAAATGTGAGCATGTTACTTTAAATATTGAGGTTGATTAAGAATATAATTTTTAAATCAGTTCCAGTATGTTTTACGAAGATGAGTGGCAAAAACCTGGCAGAAAACATGGGAAATTATGAACGCAAAGTCACTTGCAGAGCTTATTTTACAAATTTTAAAGCTAAATTCACAAAGGAGAAAGAGTGAGCATGTTATTTAAATATTAAAATATTGAGGTTAATTAATAATATAATTTTTAAAACCGGTTCTAGTTTATTTTACAAAAATGAAATGGCAAAAACCTGGCAGAAAACACGGGAAATTATGAACACCAATACAGTCAAAGTGCTTATTTTACAATTTAAACAAATTTTATAAAAGAGAAAAAGTGAGTCTGTTACTAAGGTTTCTGTATTGTTTTTGAAAAATGTATCTGAATTAAAATCCAAACTTCTTGCTTCATTACGCATATGTAAATGTAATCAAGAGATGCAATGGTAACTAAAATGTGGGTCAATTTAGATACGCTAATAATTATTTTCATGTCATGGCTGAAAACTGATGAATGGCATATACAATATATTAAAATTCTAGAATATTTTTTCTAAATACATTTAAAATCAAACACTAAAAAATTAAAAACGATTGTTTTTAAAAAGTGAATTTGGGTAAAAAATAACTAAGTGAGGCAATCTAAAAATTAAAACAGGAAAAAGTGAGCATGGACAAAAATATGGGATTTTGTTCTAGTTTTATCCACCAGCTGAAAGTTGTAAGTCTAATCACTCTGAAAAGTAATCGCACACCTCTTCTCAATGAGCTGCATGATTTAAGGTATCAATCACAATCATACATGTAACAAACAGAGAAAGACGAGTTATGCACCAAAGTTTAACAGTTATGGTTAGGGGTCTGAAAAAATCCCCATCATGAGCCAAAAGTAATAGTCTTAGCAAGCGCACCAACAAAATCAATCATGAACTAATCTATCTCCTCTGTGACATTATCCGAAGCTAACTTCTAATCAACCTGTCAGTGGGAAGGTTACTGTGAACATCCCTGATAAACCAGCGGCCATGAAGAAACCTGTCCAATGATGAAACAAGGGAAAGCCAGGCTTCCTGTTGGTAATTTCAGACCAAAGAGAATTCGCATTCCGCTTTAACCTTAAACTGCAAACAAATAGTCGCTGATTGTGTTCTCTAAAAACAACCTTCCACCTGCCTGGACAATCCTAAAGTCCATTCACAAACATTAAAGCCTCTAACTACAGTTGATTTTGGCACATAAAAGACTGTGGTTTTTTCCCCACTGAATGGCAGCTCATGGATTGATCACCCCCTTTACAAAGGATGCGTTTAGCAATTGCACTAGCATTAAAAAGACCGCATGTCCTAAGACAGGAGGGCAAATGAGTATTATATTTAAAGCTAGTCAATAATAAAGTCACACTAACTATACTAATCTACTTCACAGTGAGTTACGCTTCAATTTAATACATTTACGATCAGAGTCTGCTATGCTGCTCAGGTAGTCATTAGTTTCTCCCAAGTGCACCTCCAAAGTGGCCACTTCGCTCCATCCCACAATGGGAAAGGTCAGAGCAAAGCGAGCACATCACGCTTAATAGAATAACGTAGAGGCGACAGAGCGTGTGTGTGACGTCCGTGCTGAGGAAACACTAAGCTCTGAAGCTACAAGAGTGTGTTTGTGTTCATCAAAAGTGAGTGCGTGCAGCACTGGTTTGTTGGAGGGTGTAACGAGTGCACCACCTAGTGGGTTCGGTGTGCCCTCACATGCTGTGGACGTATGGAACCAAGGTCAGAAATTTACTTTTCCATTATAGTGCAATATTTGTCACCTGGAATTGATTTCTGGGGGGGGGGGTTTATCCTTATAAGAGGATTTTTTACAATTACCTTAATACTAACTGTTTCTGTGTTGCCTTTTATGTCAAATACTATTTAACCGGTTACTTAAATTAATCAGAATACTATAGACTATTACCAGTAAATTTCTCTGAATATGCATATATCATCAAGTTTATTTACACCAACTGTTTAATGATGCTTAAAGATGGCACATTTATACGACAACTGCATTATGCAGTATAATGTAAATAGCCTAAATAAAGCAAATGAATTCCTGATATTTTTTTTTTTATTTATTACAAAGAACTGTATAATGACAAACCATTGTTGTTGTTTATTGCTCTTGTAATAAAGCATCTAATAATGCTTATTAATTTTTGATTAATAGAATACCTAAAAAATGCTTTGAGTGGGAAAACAGCTCTTCATATTCTTGTAAGGCTAACTCAGACGTAAGTTGAAGGGATAGTTCTGTCATTAATTACTAACCCTCATTTCGTTCCAAACCTGTAAGACCTTCATTCATCTTCTGAACACAAATTAAGATATTTTTGATGAAATCCGAGAGCTTTCTGACCCTGCATAGACAGCAAGGCAACTACCACGTTCAAGGCCCAGAAAGGTAGTAAGTACATCGTTAAAATTCTCGTAGCTTCATAAAATTACGGTTGAACAATTGATGTCACATGATGACTATTGACCGGACTATTTTAATGATGTCTTTACTACCTTTCTGGGTCTTGAAAGTGGTAGTTGCCTTGCTGTCTATGCAGGGTCAGAAAGCTCTCGGATTTCATCAAAAATATCTTAATTTGTGTTCTATATATATATATATATATATATATATATATATACACACACATACATACACATATATACACACATTACAACTATGATACACATATCCACACACATATTTACACATACAATACTTGCTCGAAAGGGAGTGGAAAGAAGTAGAACTTACTTGCTCCCACCCCCAATTAGACCCTGCATAGACAGCAAGGCAACTACCACGTTCAAGGCCCAGAAAGGTAGTAAGGACATCGTTAAAATTCTCGTAGCTTCATAAAATTACGGTTGAACAATTGATGTCACATGATGACTATTGACCGGACTATTTTAATGATGTCTTTACTACCTTTCTGGGTCTTGAAAGTGGTAGTTGCCTTGCTGTCTATGCAGGGTCAGAAAGCTCTCGGATTTCATCAAAAATATCTTAATTTGTGTTCTGAAGATGAACGAGTGATATTATAATATTTATATACAAATACCCAAATACAATAGGACCATCTCAATAATCACAATAATACATTATAATAATCCTCATTATCATAAACATTCTAATATGTCCCGGTATTTATAATAATCATGTAATATATCAAATATAACCATATCCTATTATATTGTTAAATCACAGTTTTATAATAACAATAGAAATAACAATAATAATAATGGCAATGATAGTGATAATAATCTCTACTACCGTCACAATAACAATGCATTAATACCAGTACTATGACTAAATTAATAGTGCAGTTTTGTTGTAAATTACAATATCCATTCCAAAGTTTGACACCACACACAGACACACACAAACTTTTCCTGGTGGTTCTCACCACCTGGACTTTAAGCTTCCCACATCCCCTCAGATTATATCCCCCCTCTCTTCCTGTAAAGAACTTTTGAATATTGACCGGGTAGTTCATTTTTGTTGGCTTTATACAAGAGTTGTGCAGTATAAAAATCAACTAAATAAAAAAAGTTTAATTAGCCGGATTTGCAGAAATAATATATATATAATGCATTATATTCCAGGACATATTTAACTTTATTAATTACAGAGATACTTTTGGATAATTTATCTTGTATGTATCTGATGTGTGGTTTCCAGCTTAATTTACTGTCAATAGTTATTCCTAAGAATTTAATTTCTGACACTTTTTCTATTGCAACACCATCTATATTTATAGATGTATTTATAGAGTTTTCTTTATAATTACCAAACATCATTACTTAGTTTTATTTAAATTCAGAGATAATTTATTAACATCCATCCATGTTTTTAGTTTTACTAATTCTTTATTTACTATATTTATAAGTGTATTATAATTATCACTAGAATAGAATATATTAGTATCATCAGCAAATAATATCAGTTTCAATAATTTAGATACATGGAATATGTCATTTATATATAAATTAAATAACTTAGGACCCAATACTGATCCTTGAGGGACCCCACAAGCAATGCCCAGACACTGTGACGTAAACCCACCCAACTTCACAAACGGTTGTCTCTCAGTTAAATAACTTTTGATCCAGTTCAAAGCCACTCCCCTAATGCCATATCTTTCCAGTTTATTGAGTAAGATTGAATGATTGAGTGCATCAAAGGCTTTCTTTAAATCAATAAATATTCCAACTGCATATTTTTTTTTCTGTCTAGGGTGTTTGTGATTTCTTCCACAACTTCAATTATGGCCACTGATGTTGACCTCTTCGCTCTAAAACCATACTGACTTTCATTTATTATATATTTACGCATTTAAAAAATCAAGAAAATCAAGATTTTATATTGGTTATCTTAGTAGTTTGAAGTACAAAACAGTTATTTAAACTGGAAATAAATTCTATACAGAAAGCGAGCAAAGAACATTCCCCATCACTGAAGCAGTCCATGACTTCAGTCTAGCGTGAGTTACGCACACACTGAAAAACTCCCGTTATAGTCACTGAAGCGGTCTACACTGCAAAATTAAACTTGTTTAGATCGCATCTACTCTTATGTTGAAAGAATTTGCGAGAGTGCAGAATTCAGTCAGTAAGCATGTGTACTGAAACTCCTGTGTTTTCAGATGATTTCTTCTTCACCGGTGACTAATCCCAGTGACACCTCTGATTGGTCATCGCATTCATAAGCTCAACAGAAATGTGTGTGATTGGTTATAACGCTCAACGTTGCAAAAAACATGTAAAACGTGAGCAGGTCTAAATATGCCGTAACTTATTCATTTTCACATTTGACATTAATTACAACAGTTGTAATAGATACAGTTTAATTGTGTAAAGGCATTTTTACCCCCTTGTCTTGAATTTTGGGGGACTTTTGTGAATTCTGATGGCATTTTTGCACCCTGGTTAAATTTCCAGCCCTGTATGGAACAGAGCAGCAAGCCATTTCTGATTTCCGTCCTTTGTTTGATGGTTTGGAAAAGATGCCAAAAGCAATGCTGTTGAGATATTACAAGGCTGCTCTGGGCACTGTTGAGTCAGCCTTTGCGTAGCGCTGCTTGTGAAATGATGCTTAGGAGGGCAAGAATCCTGAAAATAGGAATCTGTATAAATGACACTTCGGTCTGTGGTTCAAGGTGAACACGTCGTCTTCATATTCATCATAAGATTCTCATTACCTGGGCTCTCCATCTTTAAGCAAGCCTCTCCTTTCCTTACATTAAAGTAGATAACGGATCTAGAGTGAGGCAATTACAACCAAAAGCAATTGAACTAGTTCTAATTACACCTCATTAGCAGCCAATAACCTTGTTCACTGTGACTGAACATTCCAGCAAAACTTGACCTTCGGCAGCCATCTTTTAAGGCCTGTTTAATAGCCTTATAAAGCTAAATGTCTTAACTGTAGATTACATTGTAGCACATAATGATGCAAGAACTCTTACCTTTATTAAAAAACATGGAGGCCATTTGTCCCATTTCGACTCTCTCGACAATGTCAAAGTGGTCTATATTCGCAGCACGCTCTGTTATATCAGATGACAAACCCAACAGTGAGCTTAAGATTTCGACATTGCAAATCAATTTATTGACAAAGACACAAAACAACGCAAACAGCACTTACGGACAGAGAGAATGGGCCGCGTCTCGACGGGTTCTGAACGTCCCCGTATAACAACGTCATCATCTGAATAGTCAGAGCTGGAGTCGCTGTCATTAACCTTAAAATGGTTGTGACCACAAAAATGGTTAGTTTAATTATTGAACAAACATGCTCATAACCAAAAACCAAAAAGTCTGGGGTCTGTTTTTTGAAAGAATATAATACTTTTATTCAGCAAAAGTGGATTAAATCGCGAGAAAGATATTTTTAGAATTTCAAATAAATGCTGTTCTTTTGAACTTTCTATTCATCAAAGAATCTTGAAAAAAAAAGTATCAGTTCACACAAAAATATTAAGCAGCACAACTGTTTTCAACAATACTGTTTCTTGAGCAGCAAATCAGTATATTAGAATGATTTCTGAAGGATCATGTGACACTGAAGACTGGAGTAACAATGCAGAAAATTCAGCTTTGCATCACAAGAATAAATTACATTTTATATTATATTCAAATACAAAGCAATTATTTTAAATTGCAGTAATATTACACAACATTACTGTTTTTACTGTATTTTGAACTACCGTTTGATTGGTAGTGTATGGCTTCAGAAGATTTTGAAAATATTTTTTTCCACATCTTTGGCGCTTTTTTTGTTAATTTTAGATCTCTGCAGCACTCGTCCCCATTGACTTTCATTGTATTGTACTTTCATTCAGCCTTCTTTTGTGCGGTAATAACATACATGTTTGGAAAGTAAAGGATAACATCTGTATTTTTGGTGAAGTATCCTTTTAAGACAATGTTCAATATGACTGACAGAGGACGTTCTATGAGAAAATGTTTTGATTATTGCTTCAGTTCACTCAGCTGAAAAGCTGTGTGCACAATATAATGTGCCAAACAAAAACAAGGTAGCAATTTGTCATGCTAAACTGCAAAATTGGTCATGGCATGCTTATTCAGCATAAACATAATATATGCACAACACATGCTGTTGCAGAAAAGAGATGATCTATTGCATATAAATATAAACATTTTGCTTTTAAAGTTGTATCGGCCAATTTATTGTTTGCCAGAGAGGTTTTCTATATTCTGTTTGTATTGGTGCAACGGACTAGAATCATACTGAGCATTGGCCTCGTTCTGAGTCTGCTTCAACACATAATAGCTCTATTTTAGTACTTCTGCCCTACATGGCCCTGTTTCATTCTCTGATAGGTCAGTCTCGTTCAAAGCTTCATCGACTTTCTGGCTTGATTACCTGCAGTGGGACGTGCAACATTTCCAAGATCAGTGTAATTTTCATAGGGAATGACCGGAGACTGAATAAGAACATAATGTTCTTATTCAGCTGGCATTAAACTGATCTAGTTACTAACCTCTTCCTGTTCTCTCCTCTTCCAGCGCAGATGGGCATTGGCAGCGGCCATGGCTTCAATCACAAATGTGGTGGTCATGAAACTGAGAGAAGACAGAAGAGTTAAAAACAACAATAAGGAAAAACATAATACAGAGACAAGCCACTGGCTGGTATCATAAAGAAAATCCTGAAAGACAACATAAAATAAAAAAATGATAATCACGGTTTTGCATATTATTTTAAAGACTAAACAAAAAAAGATTATAATTTTTTTTTCCACTAAATGCAATATGTTTGTTTCCCCATCTGAAATGATGTATGTTGTGGTCAATAGAAAAAAAAAGAAAAAAGAAACAAAATAACCGATAATATCTACTTAAAACAGAAAATTAAATAATACATATTTTTATGTTTTATTATACACAAACACACAGACTTTTAACTATATAATATCATTCAGTCCTAGTGCAGTCCTAGGGGGAAAAAAAGAAACAAAATAGCCGATAATATCTTCTTAAAACAGAAAATTAAATAATACATATTTTTATGTTTTATTATACACAAACACACAGACTTTTAACTATATAATTCAGTCCTAGTGCAAAATATGCAACTGTATGTCATAGGGCTGTCAAAATGACTGAAAAACTAAATTAGAATTTTCTACTTAAATATTATCAAAATTCGAAATATGAGAATTTATAAGGCATAATTTCACTTAGGGGGAGAAAAAGCTTTTGGCTTCTCTCCTGAGGCCACAAGAGGGCGCATCGAGCAAAATATTATGCACGTTTTTTCAAAGCGTAATAAAATAAAACGACTATCTTTGGGGAAAAAAGTGCATAATGTTTAAAATAATGTTTATAAACCATATATAATTAATAAAGTTGCTTAAACAATTAGAAGAAAAAAAACAGCACCATGCATGTATGTATAGTTTAATACAAAGGACCGAAAACCAATCACAAAGAGTAGGCTACTTTCTTCATTTAAAAACATGAGATACAGTGGGATGGGGAAAAACCGTCATAACGTCTTTAGACATGTTTTTTTAAAAGTTGAACTTGCATTAATTTTCCATGGCTTTTTAAACATGCCGCTTCTCTGCGAGACGCGAGTGCAAAATTCGAATGTGGATTTTTTTTTTTTAATTCGACGAATATTCGAAATTCGAATTCTTTTTTGACAACCCTAGTATGTCATATATATTACGTCCATCTCCTACTATAACCTGTATTTAAAGACCACTGTTGTCTGGTCTCTTTCATTGATATACAGCTCCATCCTGTTTCATCTAAACACTCATAACTCTCCCCTGGGCTCTGTCAGTGACTCAGACAGCTGGCAGGTTGGGCAGAGGTGATAAATGTGCTTTGATGGCCACAGCACCAGCGGCAGCGGTAACAGGGTTGAGAAGTCAGCTAAAGATGAGCGAGTGACAGAGAGAAATAGCTGTGCTCTCACACTGCACACAAGACGAGGTAGAGAATTAAACTTCTCAAATTCATGCCCCAACTACATGCAAATTGGAGATTCATTCTAACCCTGTTTGGCAAACCACTACAAAGAATATTGATGGAAATCTAATACGCACAGCCTGACGTGAAACCCCAAAATAATCAAGCCTAGCAGCAAGGTATGCACTTAAGACTCGCAATAAGAAAACAGCAAAAGAAAAACAACCAAATCAAGTGGTTTCTGAAAACAAATGCTGCTAAATGTTTTCTCAGAGCTTTACTTTCTGACCCATTTTTGCGATGACTTTTAGAGCGTATTTAAACTTTGGTGCACATGAAACAAGTTTCCGAACTCTGACTGAAATATAAATGCAACACGGACCAAACGTGCTGTTTTGACTTACAGTAACACATTTTACAAGCTCTTTGTGAGTTGCAAGCTGGTAAAGCAGCATTATTTGTACACAAATATGAGTGCATTTAGACCAGCACACAAAATATATGTCATAAAAGCTGTTCAATCAAGTTGTGACGGTGTCGTTTTGTGTTAAAAATGACAGTGTAAATGCCAAGCAAACCAGGATTAAATAAATCATTTTCTTTTTTGTTCTGGACCAAAAGAACCATAAGAATCAAACTACAAGTATAAACACATCCTTAATTTACTAGTATCAAGGTGATTTGTAGTGGATGTATGAAGGCAGTTCTCCTCAAGTTCACAAAGGATGCCACTGTTTATGCATTTTACCACTTATTCTCAAATTTTTTACATAAGATACAATACTTACACTCATGTGCATAGTAATCATTTGATTGAATCATTGATTCCATTATATTGCTGTTTGGCAATGTGAACTAGAGCTGTCAAAAAAAAAAAATTTCGAATATTCGTCGAATTTAAAATAAAAATCCGCATTGGAATTTTAGGTGTGCGTTAAGGAGGCAGCCTTATCAGCGGCGCACAAGATGCGATGACGATGTAAGTGTCGTTGCATTATAATGTTTTTGTTAAAGGGGTCATATGATGCGATTTCATTTTTTCCTTTCTCTTTAGAGTGTTACAAGCTCTTGGTGCATAAAGAAGATCTGTAAAGTTGCAAAGACTAAAGTCTCAAATCCAAAGAGATATTCTTTATAAAAGTTAAGAGTTAGCCACACCTACCTAAAACGGCTCGTTCGAACACGCCCCCACATATCTACCTCACTATGTGGGAAGATTTACATAACGCCGCCCAAATGTTCACGCAAAGAAAGAAAGCATAACTTTGATTCTCGCTGTAGTATTGTTGTTGCCGCCGCCATGTCGTGAAGAAGGAGCTGTGTTTCGTTGTGAAAGCGAAACTACTTTGTTTGCTCTTCCAAAAGAGGACGATATCCGCTTCGTCATACCTAGAGCTGATCTGTGCTGGTCGCTGAGGAAATACATCAACTGCACGCTGTGGATCGCCGGATCGGCTTTCACCATGGACAAAGCGGAGTCCAGCCCG